GAATTGCAGTGTGAAGACACTGTTGAAAGTGACTCTCTCTTAAAAAAAAGCAAACAACTTTTAAATTTAATCAATTAATATAATGTCAACTGATCCTGGCCATCAGGAAATCCAGAAAGCTCTGAATTTTAGGTAAATGATGTGAACATGTACACTTTTCTGGGGAGTGAACATAGCCTTCATCAGATTTTCGAAAGAGTCATGACCCAAAAAAGCATTAGCACCTTTTCCCAATTTATTCAACATTGTATTTCCAGGCTAAAAAGAACAGATTATAGTTTTTAAAATAAAATAAAAAGGTCCTTTCAGGCCTCTGACTCTATGGTACTTTTAGTTATCTTGAAACCATGTTGTAAAACAAAATCTATTTATTGCTATTCCCCTTTACATATGAGCAAATTAAATTCTTAAGAAATTAAAATTAATATCCCACCTAATAAAGATAGGTTAATGGGTTTGAACCAAAATGTGCAGTTAACATGCTGTAGTTGGTAACAAACCTCCACCGTTGTTTTTGTTTGTTTGTTTGTTATGCCAGTGAGAGTGTGAACATGCGTGAGAGAGAAAGAGGAAGAAGAAGAGAAAAATTCTTCCATGGATTTTCGTCATGTCACAATCCTTTTTCTTCCAATTCTCTAGCCTATAAGGATCCTGGGCATGCACATGAGGTTTTTTCTTTTATTTTTAAAAAATTTTTAAAGAATTATTTGATTTAACTTTATTTATTTATATGTTTTTAATTTGACCAGAGAGGGACAGAGTGAGAGAGAGAGAGTGGGGAGGGAAAGTGAGAAAGCAAGCTACCCGGTCTGGGATTCAAACCACAGTCAGCCATGTGAGAATCCAGCAGCCCAACCACCATGCCACCTGCTGACCCCGCACATGAGTTTTTTAAGCTACTGGTTCAGGACTCCAACCTTGGTTGGCCATGTGGGTTCTAGCTTCCTCTGCGAAGCACCTAACCACAGCACTACAGGCCAGCCCCGTTTCCACTGCTAATACCTGTCATGCCATAAGTAAATGCTACAATTCTACTGCTGTGATTTTAAAATGACATTTTAAAATCATAACAACTCTGCAACACATTATCTTGTATTTCAATTAAAGAAACCAAGGCTTAGAAAAGCTTGGGAATTGCCAATGACTACAGACCTGATAACTGTCAGGTTTAGGATCTGATTCCAGGTCTGCCTGTTTCCCAAGTATATAGTGACATGCTCTGAAACTTAGATTCTCAGAGTAAGAAAGCTTGTCTTCAAGACAGAGGCAATTTCTTAGACATCTTTGTCCTCCACATGCTTTTGTGGTGGTGTTGTGCAGGGCCAGGCACTCAATAAACACTTGCTGGATGAAGAACTTGGGCTCCGGCTCCAGACCTGCCACGGACATAGTGACTCAGTCTCTGCAACTTGGAGCTGCAGGTGGTTACTCAGCTGGGCAACTTCAGGGAACATTTGAAATCAATTATGGGTGAGGAGGAATCTATTAAAATGCTCTCTTATGTGTATGTTGGGGTTGAGAGGAAAGGAAGCTGAGACAGAAGGAAAGAAACTGGATGGTTTCAGGGTTGGGTGCTGGAGCTTAAAGATTTCACACCAGGATGGGAAGAATTTGGCTTATGTCCACTACTCCATTGCAATGGTCTTTCCAAGTGGGGTTCTAACCTTAGGCTACTCCTAGGTAACCCCAGAGCCCTGCATTACCAGGCCTCGAATAGCTGCTTGCGGAAAGGATCCTACAGTGGAGCAGTTGCACACAGTTCTTGCTTAGGCCTTGCTTGTTCTGCTTTAGTCATGAGAAACAGGCAACTTCAGAAGGTCTAGCCTGCGGGGGTGCCCAGTCACCACCACTCCCACTCTGAGGGCCAGAGAGTTGCACCTAAAGTCTGTGAGCCCTTCATTGTCCTCAACCCCAAATAAAATATGCTGGCAATCCATTCTGGAGCCTAGCTTCCTAATTTGGAAGAATATGGGACTGTGAGCTAGGAGGAAATGGGTAGCTAGTTGATTTTGTTTTCTTTACCAGTTGCTAGAACTGCAAGTCAGTCTTAACCCCAAAATGCCATTTTAGCTCTTTCACATTTGCCCTGTGAAAAAGACATGTATGAAACTGACCCCAAAGGAAGTCCACCAACAACATTCTGGAAGTGGATGATTAAATATAGCCGGGAGGCCAAGGCAGGACAGCTCTCCCAAATCAAAGCCCGCTATGTGGCTTCCTACTCTCCTGTGCATGAAACAACACTGCCACCTAGTGTTCCATGTAGGAAGTATTCCCTAAGGCTTCACTCTGTGTGTGTGTGTGTGTGTGTGTGTGTGTGTGTGTGTGTGTGTGTGTGTGTTGGGGGTCGGGAGGAGGTCCTCTACAACAGTTTGTATGGCTTAGTTGCTTGAAGTCTCTGCTGTAGAGAAAGTGTCTTAAATTTGCTCAATTGAGGACTGGGGATCTGAGGTTAAGTAGGTAGAATCTGAGGTTTGAGATTAAGAGCGTGAAAGCCAAGGCTTGCAGCACTTAGGACTATCCTCAGTGGAGCAGCAGAGCTTCAATAGTTGGATTTTACGTCATTCCCAGGAACATGATTCTGTTGCATTCTGCACAGGTGAAGGCCAGCCATCCCAGGAACAGGTAGTGACAAGCTCAAGGGCTGGTGCTAGGCTTAGAGAAGAATGATGGGCAGATCTGTCTATGGGTGTGAGTAAACCAGTGTAAATTGGAGACTGCGACTGCCAAGGACCACTTTTGTAAGTTCATGGTCCTCAGCCATGGGCGTTACAGGAGCGAAGTAAGCAGCTAAACGCAATGAGTAGACAGGCTGCCCCAAACCTCAGGAGCCAGGTTGCTAGAATCCTGACAATTAAAGACCTTGTTCTCAAACCCCATCTTTTCCAGACTTTTACTTCAAATCTTTACTGGATGTTTCCTCTTGTGAACAAGTCTGAAGAAAGGTAGGGAGGAGGGTGTGGAGAAAAAAAAAATAGGCCTGGGTATTCCCTGTCCTCTACATTCCTGGGGTAGATCTACTGGGGAAACCCCAGCACACCACAGGGACCACTTGACGAGAAAGAAACTTCAGAAGCTAGACAGGCTGCAAAAGATTTCCTGCCCAATTTTACATGCTTATAGATGGGCACTGTATACAAGGATCTGAGTGTGTGTTGTGGCAGCGTTGGAGGTGGCTGGTGATGGTAGGAAGGTGAGCCAGGAAGGGTGGGAGGTGTGACACAAAGAATGCTTGTCCAAATCAGGACACTCCTTTTCCTTTCACAGAGCAGAAGATAAAAAGGACACAGGAGGGTGGGGACAGGTGTCAGGTACCCATTGCCCTAAATGTTTTAGCTTTAATAACCCAAAGCAATAGCCATTAGAGCCCCCCACATACATTCCTGTTGAACCCTTCTCCAATTCTTCACAGCCATACCACTGGTTCCAGGTCCCTACATTGCTCCTGCAAGAGGAGGGGTAAGCAGAGTCGTGGCTCTCAGTCTAGACTGCAAGCACACAGTTTCTCTGGCAGATGGGTACTAGGAAGCAAGATTAGGCAGCAAGAAGATGTCATCTGGGAAAATCTGTGAAGCTGCCAACTCTGATCAGATAATCATCTCATTATTTCTTCCATTTGGCCCCAGAAAAAGGATTTCCTTCTCTTTCTTTGCCCCCACCTAACTGTAAGCCAGCCCCTTCTCTCTTCCCTTCCCTCACCCCCTCTCCCACCCCAAAATAAAATAAAGCAAAACCACAAGACTTGAGAGTGCTCAGTGTCTGGGAATCCCAGCTTCCAAAGGAAAAATCACAGCCAAAGAGGGGGAGACAGAGTGTCCGGAAGGGATGTTCCAGCAACACCCCATTGAAAGAGGCTCCCTCCTTCCAGATTTCATTCCCTAGTCTGAAACTTACTTAGAGACATCTAACAACTTGAAAGGTTTTTAATTTGGAGAGTCATCAAGCAATTCAAAGGCTCTAGAGTTCTATTCCCAGCCTGCCTCTAGCACACCTCTCAATACCTCAGTTTCCCTATCAATGTAATGGAACTGGTAGTCATCAAAGGACTCTATGGGTCATCCAAATTAGTAAGATTAAATGGTTCAACTATGTGCCTTGCTTTGTGTTAAGTTTTGTCACAGGGGACACAAAAGGATAGTAACACACGAAACAGTAAAATATTAAATCTAATCTTTTACTCCTTGCTCAAAGTCAACCTCTTCGGTAAGGCAAAGAGAGAAAGTTACACAATCCCCACTCTTTGATTTGCTCTCTCAGACATTTTCTATGAAAGCCAAGATCTAGGTATAGTGGAAGATATATGGGCAATGTTCCCAGACAGGTGCTGCTGATTAAAACCATAGAGTTATACAAGGTTTCATTTTTTGGTCCCTTTTACAATAGCCAAGGCTAAAAGTCAGGATCCTAGCTTGGAGTGCCCACCTTTTCCAGTAGACCCTGTCATTCCTAGGCTGGACACATGACTGTTGGCACAATGTGAAGGAGACCCCAGAACCTGACTAGGTGGGATCTTACTACCAGGACTCCATGGCTGTGCACCTGGCAACCTTGTTTCCACCCCTTCCTGGACCAGCCTAGGAATGACTCACTGCTCAGGTTCTGGAACGCTCATCTATTTGAAAAGCTTCCTGGGTATCTCACACTGGACCATGAGAAACAGAGGGTGTCATCTTTTCCCTTTGACAAAGAACTAGAGATCTTCCCTTTTCCAGAGTGGTCGGAGAGCTAAGCTGCAGGTCTCTTAAGTGCAAGCAAAATGTGCAGAAGGACATGAGATCAATACAAGGGACAAAACTCTTAAGGCTAGAGAGTCATTATCTTCTCTCAGATGGGGTCTGGAATCCTGCTATGCTGGAGAATACAGGTCCTTCCCCACCCGGTGACTAGCCCCTTTCAGGCTTTCCTAAGCCCCCTTGGTCTTGTGCCCTATGCCTAACTCCATCAGAAATGGAGCCAGCCATATTCCCAGAACCTCAGAAAGCCCAGCAGTGGGCTATTACCTGCGATTATGGCGGGGTTGCTCTGTCCTCCCTCCGGCTTCACCCAGGCTTCCACTGTGAACGCCTCCCGTGGAATCTCAGCCAGCACTTCCGGACGCAGCAGCAGCCGCTCCCGCCTCCCAGAGAAGTACAAAACCGGCCGTTCTCCTTGGGGGTGCGAGGGCTCTACCTCCCAGGAGGAATCCCTTCCACCATCTTGGATGCTGTCCTCTGGCAGACTGTTTCTGACCCCACGCTTAAGGGGATGCTTAGGCCACAGCAGGATGTGAAGAGGAGACAGACCAGGATCTCGCTGCTCGCCTTCTGCCTGCTTCTTCACTTGGCGGGGATGCCTTGATCTGGCCCAGACCTTCCTGTGGGTCTCTGGTCTGGGTTCCTTTGGGTGTACAAAGGTGGTGGTGATGGTGGCCTCTGTGGCTGGGCTTTCCTGAGACCCAGTCTCACTTAGAGCATCCTTGGGTCTTCCGTCTCCAAGATAAGTGTCATCTCCCAGTAACTCAGCTTGCCTGACAGGACCATTCCCTACCTCAGGCACAGCTAGTTGTTCTGCCTGGCTCCTCACTCCTGCTGTCTTTTCAGTCAGATCTCTGCCAACAAGGCTCACAGACTTTCCCCTGGTGTCTGCTTCACTGTGTCCAGCAGAATGGATTCCCTGTTCCCTTATGGGGTAGGGCCTTGGGGAGTTCCCAGGCCTGCTGGGGTAGACCCCAAAGAGGTGATGCTGGGGAGCAGCTCTGGGTCTTTGGACCTTGGCCCCCAGCCAGCAGCATTCTCCCTCCAACAGCACCTGATTCAGGTGTCCCCTCTGAGCCAAGGCTCTCTTGCGTGTCCAGCCCAGCTCAGAGTTGGCAGTGCTGAGAGCCCACCCAGCCAGAATCACCAAGCTTATTCTCAGGATCTGTAAGAGCATCATATCTCCTCCAGCTGTTTTTACAGAACCAGAAGTCAACTTCTGGGTACCACACTGAAATGACAGGGAGGAGAGAAAGAAACAGCTAGCAATGGATTTGCAGTCACTGAGGAAACTATTTTGTTCACCAACCAAACTTTTCCAAATGACCCCTACAGAGCACCTCTTCTGGCTACCTGTGTTGTAAACTCAGCCAGCCGGCGTGGCTTTGACACCTTGCCCACTGAGTGCTGCCCTCACGCTTCTCCCTTGACCTCTCTTCTTGCTCTATTTTAGTTCTTGCAAAATGAAGTTAATTTCTTTTGGTTTCCTTGAATTTCCTCCCAGAGAGTGCAAGTTTCTTTCTTTCTTTTTTTTTTTTCTTCTTCAATAACCCCTCCCCTCACTGATACTAGCCTAGAGACCCTGGGGCATAAGTACTTACAAATACACACTTACAAACACTCCTCTTGTGACTTGAAGTCATTCAAAATAATCTTATTCTCCAATTGGCATTTCTTTCTTTTTACTTCTCCAGGAGTTCCCTTCTCTTCCCTTAACCCTAAATGCATTCACCTTAAAACAAATTGCTAGAAGAACTTTTAGACAGAGATACACAGTTTGATGCTTATGATCAAAAAAGAAAAAAAATGCAACAAGAAATTGAGGGCACAACAATCTGAGCTGGTACTTAACTTTCACTCTCTAGACATCCACAGCAGGTCCTCATCCAGCTGCCAATCTGCCGGCACAGGTTAGAAAGTTCCCTTAGCTTGGTGCTTGGGCTGATGATTGTTGAAGGTTTCTTATCCCTTTTCAACTTGTTGGTGTGTTGCAAGTGTCCTCGAAGTTTTTCTTTGGTATGCAGTCCACTGTTCTAAGAACCTTATGAGTCTGAGAGCCCTTGACTTCACCTCCTGAGAGCCTTGTAGATCCCTGGACAGGTCGGAAAGAGAGCAAGAACAAGAATATAGGCTTCAGGGACCTGTCCTCTCCAGGCTCCCCTGCTCTCCTCCTTTCCCTTTCTCTCTGCCTGTAATTATCTTCTTGAGTTTTGCTTTTTTCCCCCCCTCATTTCTTCTTCAATAACCCCTCCCCTCACTGATACTAGCCTAGAGACCCTGGGGCATAAGTACTTACAAATACACACTTACAAACACTCCTCTTGTGACTTGAAGTCATTCAAAATAATCTTATTCTCCAATTGGCATTTCTTTCTTTTTACTTCTCCAGGAGTTCCCTTCTCTTCCCTTAACCCTAAATGCATTCACCTTAAAACAAATTGCTAGAAGAACTTTTAGACAGAGATACACAGTTTGATGCTTATGATCAAAAAAGAAAAAAAATGCAACAAGAAATTGAGGGCACAACAATCTGAGCTGGTACTTAACTTTCACTCTCTAGACATCCACAGCAGGTCCTCATCCAGCTGCCAATCTGCCGGCACAGGTTAGAAAGTTCCCTTAGCTTGGTGCTTGGGCTGATGATTGTTGAAGGTTTCTTATCCCTTTTCAACTTGTTGGTGTGTTGCAAGTGTCCTCGAAGTTTTTCTTTGGTATGCAGTCCACTGTTCTAAGAACCTTATGAGTCTGAGAGCCCTTGACTTCACCTCCTGAGAGCCTTGTAGATCCCTGGACAGGTCGGAAAGAGAGCAAGAACAAGAATATAGGCTTCAGGGACCTGTCCTCTCCAGGCTCCCCTGCTCTCCTCCTTTCCCTTTCTCTCTGCCTGTAATTATCTTCTTGAGTTTTGCTTTTTTCCCCCCTCATTTAAAGACAATGATGATGTCAACGCTAATAAGTTCAGTGCATCACTCCACCTACTCCCTGTCCCCTCCTTCCTCCTGAAAACCTCCCCACCTCACAGAGGCACAGGGGACAGACGCTGCTCTTGGTTTCCCCAGTAAACATCTCGGGCTTTCTCTTTCAGCAGCTGCAGCCTACACAATCAATAGCAAACATCAATATTGTTTTGGAGCTCTCTTTTCTATGTGTATTCTCTCATACGCACACGCACACACATGTGTGTGGTAAACAGACCTGCCTCCTGCCTAATAAGCCCATCTCAGCCTTGTAGGGATCTCTTACATCTCTTTTATTTGTTTTGTTACAAATCTCTTTCCTATTGCAATCAATCATTTGGGAATTAAAGGCACAAAACCTCAAATTCACTGTAGATTGGATACTGGGAGGAAGGAGAAATCAATTATTCTGCTGTGAGAAACATTAAACAAAAATGCCACGAATTCGCACTACATAGATCTTTTTTTTTCCCAGAAGTTTCTCAATCTGAAGTTACTAAAAGTCACCATATGCTGAGTGAGCAAATAAACAAAGGAGATGCTCAAAATAAGTCATTTACAAAAATGAACAGCTAGAACCAAGCAACTATTTTTTTTTTTCAATTGGTTTGAAATGACTGGGAAAGAGGTGGAAGAAATCCTGTGATTATAGTCTAGATGCTTACATCCAGGCTTCCTCAAAGGGTCCCCACCCCCTAAACCCACGTGCACATACACAAACACACACACACACACACACACACACACGTAGAGCGTAGTTTTGAATTCTCCACATAGGTAAGAAAGTTTGACCATGAGTGGTATGGAACAGGTAGAAAAATACACTGGGTCCACCATTCAAGTAATAAAAGAATTACTTACACTTTTTAAATCACTGCTTGTGTTGCTCAAATCTAAAGCATGTAGCTCACATACTTTGGAATAAGATCACACTGCCTCTTCTGCCTTAGGACTCCCCATCATTTTCTAAACTCTGTACCCCACCTGAAAACTGGCTCACTTGTATTCAGAATGCTGTGTGCTCAACACCCCATCCCCAGCACACCCCATTTCCCTGTGGAGCAACCACTGGAGCCTCAAAGTCAGTCCCCAAAGAAGATATCAGTTCAAGCACGTGGATGTTACTAAGCTGATATCCCTCAGCCCTAGAATGTCCTTTCCCCTTTTATCATTTCCTCAGCTCCCTTTACTTTTCTGAGTTCTTTTATATTACTGTTATTACTATTATTTTCCCTAAAGCAGTTCAAGAATAGGGATTGGGGCTTTGAGGAGGTGGTGGGTGAAGAGAAAACCAGAAAAGCAAAGAAAAGAGAGAGAAGAAGAAAAAAGAAAGAAAAAGAAAGGAAAGGAGGGAAGGAAGGTGGGAGCCTTCATTTAAGTGAAGGGAAAATACTCAGGTAAGAAAAAGAGCAGTGAACTCCCCACACACACATGCCACCCCCACAACCCTCAGAAAAAGGTTTCCTACCATTCATTTCAGGAAGGAGGGATAACCCAGCAAGGAAGAATTCCGCCTGCTTTTCTCCCCCTTTCAATGTGTGAGGGATCTTGCATCCCCCTATAGGACTCTCTCCTGGCTCTCAGCTGCTAGTAATCCATTCATAAGGTTTCAAGAAGCTACACAAAACTCAAGCTTCCAGTTTAGTTTCTCTCTCTCTCTCCCCTTCATTCCTTTGCTCACCACTCTCCTTCAGCTCTTGGCAGTCCAAAGTTTAAAAAAAAAATGTTGAACCATTTCTGTGTTTTCCTCCTGTTGTAACTTTTGCTGTGACATCATAACCCTGCCCACCAACACCCCACCTCTCTCCTTTCCATCCCACCCCTCATGAGCCCCATCCCACGGAGAAGAAGGGCTCCTGTCAGTTCCAATGTGTGAAAAACACAAAGCTACCAGAGGTGCCCCCTCCTCCCCTCACCCCCTCCTCTCTCCCCCCTCCCTGCCTTACCCACCGCTCTGCCTGGGCTCTCTCAAGGCTTTTAACAATGATCCCATCTGTTTGACATGTGCGGAAAGGTGGGCTGGATTCAAATAATCTGTCAAGTGAATCAGATCAAAAACACAGCAACCCCCTCCTCAGTTCCATCACACACGGGCACACGTACCCCTACACCCAAGCAGAAGTGGGAGAGAAGTCAGACTTGCACAGCACCCAGCCTCAATGCCAGGGAGAAAGACACCAAACATGCCAAGGGAAACCCACACTTAGATCGATATATAAATTCTGTTGCTTATTTGTTTATGACAAACACCCACACCCCAAGTCCCCTACCCTCTTTCCCAAACCCTGCCACTCCGCAAGTGGACAGTTTTCAAAGCTGGTAGAATCTGTTTTGAAATCTCCAACGAGAGGGTTTTTCCCCCTTTTTTTCACTCCAAAGCACTATCTGTGGCGATCAGACTGAGCAGGGTTGCCAGCAAACGCAGGAGGCCCCTTCTAGGGTACAGGCTTTCAAACCAGCGAAGCTAGAGGGAATGGATTTAAGGACACACAGCAGGAGCTGGCTGAATGCATTTTATTTTGACGGGGGTAGTTGGGGGAGGAATATCATTTCTGAAATGCCCAAGGAATGGAGGGAGAGGATATGGATTTCTTAAACAGTTTTTGCGAGAGGAGCGCTGCCTTGTTCTGCAGGTAAATCTATAAGGCAAGAAATTGGAGCTTCCAGATAAACAAGGACCAAGACGGAGAGGCAGGGAGAAGAAAAAGGAAGGAGAGGGGAGGCAGGACAGGGGTGGGGAGGTGGGAAGGTGGAGAGAGGAAAGAAGGGGAGGAAGACAGGAGAGGAGCGAGGGGCGAGAGAAGGGAAGAAAGAGGGAGAAGTGAGGAAAGGAAAGGGAAGACGAAGGCAGGCAAGGGGGCTGCAGGGGGAAAGGAGTGAAATGGAAGAGGGAGGCAGGAGGATTGGGAAAAGAGGAAGAGTCTGGGAGGAGAAAAGGCTGGAGAAGTGGGGAAGGATGAAACAGAGAGGAAGGAAAAAGAGAAAGGTGCTGAGGGGCATAAAATATAGAGACCAGGAGGGCAGTGAGATCCACGCTGGTTAAACAGGACATTACAGAGGCAGGTGAAGGGAGGCACTGTAAAATGGGGCAAAGATGAGCGTTTATGTACAGAAAACAAAGAACACAGCAGAGGGGCTGTCTCTCAGTGATCAGGCGCATTGTAAGACTTCAATATTATCTCTAAGGAAACCCCTAGCCCTTCCCCCTTCTCTCCCTACATGTCTTCCTCTAATACCCACCTCCACCTTCCTTCTTTCACCTTTTTGTGCTCAGTGTCTTCCCCTGGAGAATTCACGAATCATATTCAGACAACTTCCTGCCCCCTCCCTGAAGAAAGCCCAACCCTTAATAGCCTCTTTTAAAATTTCTATCCACAGAAGGACCTGGGTCCTCTTGTCTAAAGACTGGGCTGTTTGTGACTATCTGCTGTTCATTTTAACCCAAATTATATTATATTTCTTTTAAGCCCAGGATGTCAGGGATGTTTTGCTTGTATTTGCTGCCATAGTGGAGTTAGTTTCCATTACCATCGCCATGATTATTATTAATAGTCTTTGAGCAACGAGAGGAGCCTGTCCACGCTGGCATCCACCTGTGGTACGGAGCATTAGGAGCGAGAGAGCGTGAGCCCTTAATATTAATATGGTCACTGATCTTTGACTTTCTGGTTCCAAAATCAGATCCCTTAAGGGAAAAGCTTAGCTGGGAGCCAGCCAGGGAGCATAGTAATAAAAGCCTCCCAGAACACAACCAAATGCAGTATCTATATATAGGAGCCGGATCTGTTTTAGCTACTTACAGTCTAAAATGACACCCGGAAACAAACATTTCAGCAATATGTTTATTGGCATCTTATTCAGCTAGTGCTGGAAAGAGTGAGTTTCTCTGAAGGATTGCACTAGAAGACTCAGGGTTGTTGTTTTCTCCTCTCCCCAGCTCTGATGCTCAGAGCTGAGAGTCAGGGGCTCTATCCTTCATGGGGTAACTTGAGATTCCTTCAGAGTAACCTGCTACAGCTCTGTTTTTCATGAATAAGAAAGCAAGGGTGAAATCCCACAGTCAGTAACAAGGCCATGTACAGCATCCAGGTCGCCTGAATCCCAGTTCCGTATTTGTCCTTCTCTGGCTACACAACATGCCTTCATCTGTCTTGCTGGTCTGCCAACCACACGTCAACTGAATGGGAAGGCAGAACCAAACACTGGCCTCCCATGTTCCACATCCAGGCAAAAATGCCCAAGGAATATATGTTGGTGCTCTGTAATTCTGAGTCCCATAGCACTCAGAAGGAAATGCAAATCTGGATTTCACTCTCCTCCCTATATATTTTGAGCCAAGTCAACCCCCATCTTCTTGTCACACTATTTGATACTCCGTATGTTAGATAATTACATTTTTCCATAATACTATTACTAATATAAATTATTAGCGAGGGTAATGGTCATGTTTTGAAAACTGCCTCTCATCCAAATAGATCAAAGGGTTTCATAGACAGGTTAGGCTCCCATCACCTCGGGGAGTAGTATGGCAGAGGTGATGTGCCAGAAAGCCAATATCTCTTCATGACAGTTCCCATTGGGTAAGTGTTTCCTGTAAGATTTTGAGCCTTGGAACCAGCTTATGAAGCCCTTTGGCTGGGGAAGAATTTAACAGCAATGCTGGATCCTGCCTGCTCATCAGACCAACAAAGACTCTTCAGGGATTATGCTGCAATTAGGATTGCCTTTGCACCTGAAATCTCTTCAAAGGGCAGCCTTACAGCAAGAATAGTAAGTAAATTCGTACACTTGCTTTTTTCCTTACCTAATGCTCATTTGTGTGCTTTCTTTCCTCTTTACCGTGACCATATGAATGCAAGACCAGTGTCATGTCCATTTTACAGACGAGGACATTGAGGGTGGAAGAGATTAAACAGCTTACCCACAGACCTGCAGACAGCAAAACTGCAGCCAAAACAAATGTCAAATGCACACTGGTAAGTGGAAGAAGCTGGATTGAAAAGGCCATGTACTGTCTGATCTCATTGGTATGACGTTCTGGGAAAGGCAAAACTGGCACGGAGAAGATCAGTGGCTACCAGGAGCTGGGGGTTTGGGAGAAAAGACAAATACAAAAAGCACAAAGGAATTTGGGGGCTGTGGGATTATTCCTTGTCTTGATTGGGATGATGATCATGACTGCATGAATTTGTCAAAATTTAAAGAACTGTCCAGTAAAAAAGATTATTCTATGTAAATTATGCCCCAGTAAAGGGAGGGAGGGATAGAGCTAGGTGCAGGGCCAGGGTCTTTTAACTTTTAATACAGTGTTCTCTCTACATCTTTCAGGTGCCCAAGGGCTCAAGGACAGTGTGACATTGTTTGGTTGTGGTTAGGGGCTGCACTGTGTCTGAACTTTCTTTCTGTGGGTCTTCTTGCCTAGACTCTAAGAGTATCTGGGATCCAGACTGGATGGAGCACCAAGTTGGTTTATGGTCCCAGTTGCATCACTACAGATGGCTCCAACAACAAATAACCAATCACCAAATGAGCACTGACCAAGGTCTATACCCCTGTTCTGCCATTCACTAGCTGCCTGACCATGGACAAGTTCGTGAACTCCTATGAGGTATCTGTAAAATTAGGACACTGTAATATAAGACCTCGAAGTTCCCTTCCAGTTCAGCTTGAGATTCCCTAATTTTTCAGCCTATGATTCTGTCTTCTCCATTATAAGAAAAGCAGCCAGTGCTCACTTTTTGTAAATATGTCAGAGACTCAAGTGTGCATCAGCCCATGAACACCTGTGACATTTATTTTGGTTCTTAAAGAAAGCTGTATATTCAGACATAACTTCATTAAAATGAGAAACAGGTGTGAGCAGAAACAGGTCATATGTGAGGAGTCATAGAGCTCCGCTAGTATTGTGAGAAAGATGCCTTGTACATAGGTATCATTGTCATATATTCAACAAGTAAGATATTAGTTACACATGGCATCGGTATAAAAATTCTTAAGTGGGATCAACTTTTAAATTTGATACCATGCCAGAATGTTTTAATTTAGTAATTTTCTGAAGATGGTAATAATATTAATAATAATTAAAATGAACATGTATCCCTTATAACATGGCAGACATTGTGGGCCATCCTGGTAGCTTGGTGATTAAGGGAGCCAGATTCCACACAGCCAACCATGGTGTGAATCCTGGACCCAGTGGCATGAAAAATATGCCAGACATGTGTGCATGCCCCAAATCCCAACGGGATAGAGAAATGGAGAAGGGATTGTGATAGGACCACACCCCATTGGGGAGTGCTCTCTCCCTTTCTCTCTGTCTTGTGCACACACCCTCTGGCTATTAAAAAGATGATATGGTAGGTGCTGTTCTGGTCACTTTACATATATTAAATGATTCAATCTTCACAACAGTTTTGTGAAGTGGCTTTTTCTATTATCCCCATTTTAAAATGAAAAGAAAAACGCAGCTAGCATTTATTGAGCACATTCTACATGCTCAATGTAGGATCAATTAAGCAATTAAATCTATTAAGCAATATACATAAATTATCCCATGTAATCCAGCAACTGAC